CCAGGAGAGGAGGGAACAAGCGGCATTCATTCCCTTGTCATGCCCAGAGCTCCCCAGCAATCCTGGCAGGCGGCTGCAGTGGAGCTCTCTCCTTGGCTCATCCCTGCCTCCCAGCCTCTTATTTGAGGGGTGGGCTCTGCTTTTGTCAAACGAAACCAATTTAATTTCAATTATTTCCATTTCGCTCCGTGTTTGGTGGTTTATTTATTTTACACGTGTGTAGTTCTTTGCCCGTATTATTTCATTTGAGCTTATTTCCATTACCTGGGTTGTGTTGTGTGGGTTTATTTATTTTGAGTTGGGCTTTTTTTATATACAGATAAAACCCAAAATACTGAAAGTTCACGTTAAAAATAGATGTTTTTACTGCTTAAAGTCAGGGGCATACACGTGCTTTATTTTTTTTTGCGTCATGTGAAAAACATGTCTTTATGTGATGTTGTGGTTAAAAGGTGCTTGTTGCTGGTGCATGGTTTTCAGAGTTAAAATAGAGAAGCTGATGAGATGCAGGATGGGTTTTTTGCCTGGGTAATGAAGAACAGGGAGATTGGTGCCCTCTTCCTCTATGAATTTCTCATCCCTCTGCAGTAACAGTTTGGCATTTCTGTCCTCATGAATGCATAATGTGTTCAGAGGTATTGGTGATCATTTTTAGGCCGATACGTGGATTCCCTGTGATCACTAGAGGGCTTAAATGCCAACACCTCTCGTTTTATAAAAAACAAGAACAAAACAATTCCAAGGCTCCCTTCCAAAACCAAATTGTTCCCAATACCTGGGCCATTGGTACCCTCTGCCAATTACCAAGTAGATTTCCAAAGTATTGGAATTTTAGCTGTGCAGGATCTCAAGGCTCAAAGGAAAACTGCACCAGTACTAAAAATGTAAAGCCAATCTTCTGAAGCCTTTTCCACTTTGTTTGTTTGCTTATTGAAATGTGACTTGAACTACAGAATATAAATATAAGTGGTCCTTGGGTTTGTTTGGATTTTTTGTAGGTGAAAGTTACACAAGAACTGAAAAACATTCAGGTTGAGCAGATGACAAAACTTCAGGCCAAGCATCAGGCAGAATGTGACCTACTGGAAGATATCAGGTAAGGCTACAGAAAATGTTACCAAAATTCCTTTAAGGTCCAGTTTTTGGAAGAACATTTGAGTTACAAAATTCAGGAACTGACGATGGAATTTCCTCTTTGGATTTCCTGCTTTTAGGCTGTTAAAGTTTTGACACAGCTGGAAATTATAACTGGAGCTAACACAATGCAAACCATTTTTTCTTCTCTTCAATGGGGGAAATGTTAAAAGAAACTCACAAACAACATCCAAAAAGCATTGGTCTTTTCAGCAATATTTATTTTCATAATATTCTGAAACTTTGATTTACCAGTTGTAAAAGGCTGCTAAGATTACTAAAATATTTTAAAGCCACTGATGATTTATGTCTCACTAGAGATAGCTTTGAAAAGCACTTTCAAGCAGATTGCGTTTTTTACCAGAAAGTTACAAGAAGATATTTGCATTTATAATTTAAAGCTCTGCATGGGTTCAAAACAATAGAGACAATCCACACAATATCAGTTGTGGGGCTTTCATTATTCCTTTTACCTAATGTGATTTTCTTCTCCTGAAATTAAAGGTTTGCTTTTAACAAAATGTGGTAGCAGTGGGTACCTGGCATTATATGGAGGATTAATCATTCCATTTCTTGTAAAATATTCAGCAGAAGTCCATTGCTGCCCCACTCTTTTTGGCAGTGGATAGTCCACATGTTAATTATTTAAATGAGATTTCCTGCTTGATGTTTGTATATTAGTGCTTGGCTTTGACAGATGAAGTTCTGTCTGTCTCACTATCAGCGTCCTCCATAAATCAGAATGTCAAGGCTGGAGCCTTTTCTCCCCCTTGTTTTTTTGGGTGTTGAAACATTTTTTTTTTTTTGTATGGGAAAGATCACAGTGTTCATTTTCTCAGTTTAAGATTATTCTGGGGAGTGTGTAACTCACAAATGCTGAGTAAAAAGTAACAGTAAAGATCCAAGGAATTTTCCCCCCTTAGATGGAAACTTATTTTTACAGCATCTAGGCTGGGTACTGCTGCTCTAGCCCAGGTTTTGTCAGCACTTGCTGTTTTTCAGGAGCTTCTGATCACTTCAGTCTGTATTCTGCTGAAAGATGTCATAAGCCTGTAGATACAAACCCAAGAAAATGTGAAAATGCTGGCTTAAAATATTTTCCTTTAATGTAATTTAATTTCTACAGTTAATTAAATTTCTGAATTTTAATGTTGGGGATTAGGAAGCTGGGTTAATATGTTTAATTCACTCCCATGGTCACTGAGTGTGTTCGGCGCTCTGGTTGCAGAATTGCTGCGTGGATTTACAGATTAAACATTCTTTCAGTGTGGGATGATGAGATGGGGTATGACAGCTCTGTGGTGTCAGTGATTTGTTCAAATATCAGATAAGAGAACCAGAACCAGGGAATTTGGGGTTAAAAGCATTTGCTGAACAAGCCCTGGTATCGGTGTGTGATGCAGAGGCCTTTGAATTGGGAAGGAGGAAAGGTTTGGGGGCTCCATGGTGTTGGTCAGGGTGTGATGCTGCTGTGAGAAGTTGGGTGTCAACCTCACCCTAATATCCCCTGTAATTTATGGCTGGATTCAGAATATGTGGCCACCATGGTTCCGGAGCGTTCCAGAAAGCTGGAACCACACACAGGATCGTGTTGGTCTCTGGAAGGATGGTTTGTTTGTACAGAAAGCACCCTGCTGTTATCCAAAAGTATGGAATTTGAGCAGAGTGTCATTTGTTTATCAAGACTCAGAAGAGTTTGGATCCTTTGGTAGCGTTTTTGAAGCTTTTGGGCACTGCAGGAGCACAGCTTTGTACTCGGAATTCCAGAAACTGAAGCACTGCAATGGCAACAGGAAACACTGAATCAGGGCTTGCAAAGCAGTGATTAAAAATGCATGTTTGAAAAAGTTACTTTATTGTGAGTAATTGCTTCATTTGTTGGCACATAAATGCAAGCATTCAAATCACATTTTTTGTATAGTAAGAGAAGTGATAGGAGGAAAAGATCAGAAGGTTCTCCAGCAGAATACATCTATTGTCTGGTGTATTAGCAGATGATTTTTGGCAGTCTACCAGCCCATAAAGCATGCTTGCAGTTCCAGCAGCTTTGATATCTTTATGCAAAACTGGGGATTCTTGGTCAGGGTCGAGGTATATGTGTGTAACTACCCTGTTTTTTTGGATGGCTTTTGACACTATGTAAAATTCTAGTATTTATTTTAAAAAGTACCAAATGTCCATTTGTCTTAACAAACCGTGTTGTGTTCCTCTGTAGTAGCTCAGCAGCACTAAAGCTGAAGTCTCTTTCCGCGACTTGACACGACTCTAATAAAAAATGTGTTTGAAATGTGTTAGCAAATAGATTTAAAAATACATTCCTGTGTTTATAATCTCTGCTTGGCTCTTCGTGTTACATTTATTCATGCTTAGTGACTGGGGAATTTGGGAACAAGTGATTCAGGATGCTTTTAGGGTCTTTGGCTTACTTTTAGGCATGACATGTGTTTATCTTCTGTAGCTCACTGAAGCTATCTCATGCCTTCATGTGGGAGATCTGTGTTGGCATTACCATAAAAAAGGTTGTCTTTCTGCCACTGGGATGGAGGAAAAGGTTTTTTCTTGACAGGTAAATGTAGGTTTTGTTGCTGTGATCCAGAAACCCTTCAACATTTATGGCAAGGATCCTTCCCTCCATCCACACTGGCTGCTTTTAGGCAGTTAATTATGATTAGGAGTTAATTTTTTCTTTTTTTTTTCTTGCTGGGCTACATGACTGAATTTATCAGAGGTGTTAGCAATATTCATGTATTTTATTTTGGTTTTAAGATTGCCTTATTTAACTGATGGTAATAAGTAAGTCACAGCCAGGGTCTGGAAATGCTCTTGGTTTGCTGGGACACAGGGATGCTTTCCTTTTATGTGTGTACCAATGCCTGCAGAATTGTAAAGAACTCTGTATGATTCACATTTCAATTCAGCTTGGCATTTCTGTGAGGTATTTATGTGCTACAGACTTTATAAACTCATTAAGTGATAATTGCTTTACATTAAACATTGGGTCTTGCTTTTTCAAAGGCTTGGGGGGGTCTGCTTTTTTTTTTTTTTTTTCTTGTTATGCCTTTTCAGGTTTTGCTGAGGAATCCTAAAATGTCCTTTTTAATACTTCTTCACATTTTTGTTTTGCTGGAGAGAATGAAATTGTGTTTATGTGTCTGTTTTAACTTTAATCTAGATTAAAGATGTAGGGCCAGGTCCACTGGCCCAGCTGATTCTGAGGCATCACAGGGTGGGTGAGTTCTGTGGATCAGGGGACTCACCCACCTGAAATCAAACCTTCCCTGGCTTTTCTCCCAGGCTTTTTGAGAAATCCAGTCCCTGGTCCAGTGTGGCATGAGAGGGAAGAGGAGTGATGAGTAGCTGAGGAAGGAGAGGGAAAGTAAAGCTGCTCAACAGCAGCCCAGGTTCACACGGGTTTAAAGTCACTGTGTAACCCCAGCCTGATGGCCCTGTAGAAGGCACAGCTGCTGCTTTGTGAGTTACAGCTCTGGAAAATTCACCTTATTTAAGTCTTAACTCGTTTTGGCTGTCTGGATGTGTTGATCTACGTTGCTTCATCCTTTTAAGTCGTTTGAAATGAGATGTAAAGATTGCCTTATTTCTGTCTGAGGCAGAGTAACAATACAGTCCTTTCATTTGTTGGCTCCTGAATTTATTTTTTTTCAGGGTTTTTTTTCACATTCATAGCTTAAAAGGAATTGCCAAAAAGACAGGCTCACAATCTACTTGTGCTCCTGATAGGGGTGCAAATCTATGTACAAATACTTCCTTCTGTTTCCTTCCCTGTTCTGTCCTTGTGGTTTCTGCCTGCTGACATTTTCTTTTTGATAGAGCTGCATTTCTCTGTGTCATTCACTTTGCTGCTGCTGCTGCTTTGCCTTTGTGGGGTGTCCTTGTGGGTCCCTTACTGCTCAGAATGTTCTGTGATTCTGTGATTTTCTATCTTCCACCCTCTCCTCCAAAGCTCTGCCTTCTGACGATTCCTTCTTCCTTCCAATTTGTCAGCTTCTTTTTTTCTGTTTTTTTCTTCCCAGGTGCTTCATCTCCTCCCTTTCTTTAACCTTGTGAATTTTAATTAGTTCTCTATTTCTGAGATTCTTTCCTATTTAATGTTCATCAGAGCTACTGAAGATGTGTTAAGCCAAGTGGGGAGATCTTGTGGCTCTTCCTTACCAATCTGAGCCCTTCCCTGCCTTGGATGCTGTTGCTGGGCTGTCCCTCCTGCAGGTTGTGAGGGAAGTAGTAATTCCAGGGCAGGATTTGTGTTTCTGTGCCCAGGATGAGGACAGAAAACTCCTTCGATGCCTCAGCCTGTCATAACAAGCCAGAGCGAGCAGCACAGATATTTAAAAAAAGAAAGTAAAAGTATGAATGAATTTACATCCGAGGCCAGCCAGTTCCTGCTCGTTTTAACATGTCATTTTCTGTGCTCAATTATGCTTCGTGGAAGCTTTTGCTGTTGGATATACTTTGTACTCCCTGGTGGAATTTGTGCTCCTGGAATCTGGCTAGCTGTGTTGGCAGGTTCCTGATAAAGGTTTATGGCAGCTGGGGCTGAGTGTGGAGTAGAGACCAGCAGCAGTTCCAGTTTTAAATACAGCAAATCTACAAGATCCCTTAAAAGATTCTGTGTTAGGGAAGAGCCTCATGGAGCTGTGGAAGGAGGAGCAGATGGAGAAAAAAAAAAGCTGTAAAATAGTAATGTATTTACATGTGTGTGTAGCCATATGTATTAGAATTCCGTGAGAGATTATGAATAATTTTGAGAAATCTCTGCTTTTCCTGCCCCCAGGCACGGTGGTGGTGAGGAGTTTACCTTTCTTCCTGATCTTTCCGGTCTCCAGCTGCAGGGAATGCAATTTATTTGGATATTCCTGAACCTGGGCTCCAGAGCATGTTTGCCTCTGGCTAGTGGGTGTCTGATAAAGCTCCTTTTTAAAAAATTCATCTATCCACAAGCAGCTCCATCACTTTTTTCTCTTTATCCTGCTGAGAAATGTGTCCTTCCTTTTTCCTTCAAGGTCATTCCCTGCATTCAGCAGATGCAATTCTTGCCTCTGGTGTTTGGGGCTTTATTTCAGTAGGAGCAGAGTGATTTGCTGTGCTTACAGGTTCTGAAACCTGCAAACCTGCCAAAGTGGAAAGCAGCAGAAGAATCAGAAAAATTCCCAAAAACAATGTGCAATATGTTATTTTTTTCTGGATTTGACTCACACTTGAGGCTTTCCTTTGTGTGACTGGAATATTTATTTCTTTAAAACTTCCAATTTTCTTACAAGCTGCTGACATTTCTTTCCTCCTGGTTGGTCTTTCTTACCACTAGTGATTATTGTGACTTTATTTTGTACTTTCAGTTTCTTTCCCAGGCTCTTCTAATTAGCTGAGGACACACAATTCTTTGCTCTAACACTAAATAAGCAGAAAATTCAGAATTTTTGAGAAAAGCTGGTGCAGTTACTTCTGAATAATATTCCATATAAAGATACAACAGAATCTGTGGTCTGGGCACGTTACCTATAATTAGTCAGGGCTTTAATGAGATGCTCACATTCTTGACGGAATTAAAATCTGGTGATGTTTTGACTGGAACTGTTTGAGGGAAGCTTGGAATGTACTTTAAAAAAAGCTGTTGCCTACTGGGTGTGGAAATCCAAGTTCTGAGCAAAAAAAAGAAGAGTTTTAGTATAAACATGGCCACAGTGTAATGATTCAGGCCTGTCTTGGCACAGTGGAATTGAGAAGAGGACCACATTCCTTCTTTTTTTTTTAATCCCTGACAAACAAAAATTAATGGATCTCCTGTTTTAGTATTTCTGAGTACCTTTCAACTGATGGAAATTAAATAATCAAAAGATGATATTTTTTTGTTTGCTTTTTCACAGCAGAACTAATAGTGTAAAAAACGCCCAAGAAACCATCTCTCACATCAGAATGAAAACTCTTCTTTTCCCCATTCTTTTTCTCTGAGGTTTGCATTTGAATGAGCTTTTTTTTCTCAGAGCAATCCCAACACATGCTCTGGAAGTCTGATTTTTAAGGGCTTCCAGGAGAACCTGGGCTTGTTCTGTTAAGCTGTGGCTTTAGTGTGAGTCTGTCTTCCAAGACATAATCAGAGGATTTAGGTTCTGAGTACAGCTCCTTGCCAAAAGTTGCATTTTCACTTTTGACTCGTGCCCCATTTTTAAGAACGAAGTCTTTAGTTTGCAGAGAGTCGTGTGGGTTTGATTTTATTTTTTTTCCCCCTGAATTTTATCCGAGCATGGCTTTTCCTGGACTTAACTCTTGTTTTTCACCATGATATTACTTGGCAGAGCTCTGGGAAACCAGCAGCTGCCATGAAGTCCTGTAGAGTTTCCTTTGGTACAGATTTTTATGGGGACAATTGCAATGTTTGTTAAAATGTATGGCTCAGGGTAGTTCTCAAGGAACAAAAAGCTCTACCTTTGTTACACTTGTTCAAACTCAAGGTGCTTCTTGTGTTTTCATTCTTCTTCATCACATCACCTCTGTGGTGAAGGCTTTCCCTCAAGGCTTTTCATCCCAGCTCCTTGAAACTCCTGTGTGTAAAGGGGAATGGAGGGTGCTGGGGACATCCCACAAACGTCACGATGAGCTGTGCTGGAAAGAGGAAGAGCATTCTTCCCATTCCAGGCACAACCAGTGTGGCCTAGCCTGATTTCCTGTGGTGGTGTGTTGTCACAGAGTCATGGAATATCCTGATGGAATGGGCCCATCAGGATCATCCAGTGCAACTCCAGGCCCTGCAAACACCCCAAAACCTCCCCTGTGCCTGGGAGCGTTGTCCAAAGGTTCTTGATGTCGGGCTTGGTGCTGTCTCCAATCCCTGGGGAACCTGCTCAGTGTCTGACCCTTTGGTGCCAAAAGGTTTATTTTGCGCGTTTTGCTGCCTTTGCCAATATCCCATCAGGAGACCTTAGAAACCTTGTGCCTTTTCAGTGCTAGCATCCTGAAAAACGATGGGAATGGGATTATCTAATCCCCTTTTTTCCCAGAAAAGGTGCCCAAGTACTGTGGTTATCTTGGTTGCAGAGAACTTGGTGTCCTTACTTTTCTTGTCATTCCCAGCTGGTCCTTGGGATCAGCCTCTCCTGCTCCCAGTGAACTTTTGACCCACCTAGTATCTTACCTTACACGTGGTGATTTTGGTTTTCTGATGAATATGCATCTGATTTTAATTTTTTTTTTTTTTCCCTCAGTAAAATCAATGACCTTGTTTAATCATGTTGATTGCTTTCTGCATATGAAAGGACACAGAAAAAGTGTTCTGCATTTACACTTTTAAAAACTGGCATTTGAAAAAAGGCTAAAACCTTATCAAACCCGAGTTGCTCTGGTCAAATGTTTGCAGTGTAAACTGGTTTATAATGGCTCAATGTGGTGCTTTTCTGACTGGTTTTTATAGTAGGTTTTAAAATTTTAATAACATTTTTCCAAAATGCATGGTAAGAATATGTTAACTTGGGGGCTTGTTATTGACTGTAAGCTTGTAAGTGTTGGGTTGTGTTTATTTATGGAGTAAATGCAATATTTCCAATTAAAACTTGAGGAAGGAGAGGGAAAGTATTGAATTAATGGTTGTAAGTCTTGGGTTGTGTTTATTTAGGAAGCAAATGGAATATTTCCAATCGAAACTTGAGGAAAGAGAGAAACTAAAAAAACAGTCTATGGAAATCTAGCTATTTTTTCCCTGTGTGCTACTGTAAGCACGGAGATTCCATTCTCAGACTTTTAAAATTATTCATAACCTTCGGAGACGTTCCTTCTAAGAGCCTTTGGAGTTATTTTAAGCGATCCTTTCTTTGTGCCACTGTGAGAACAGTTTGGGCCAATCCCAGTGGCTCTGAGAAGGTTGTTCACACACTCCTCTCTCCTCCTGCGCCAGCTCCACCAAACATCCTTTTAATGAGACAGACAAAATGCACTGCTGTCTAATTTTATGAGCAGAGCTCAGCCATGCAGAAGACTTTCGAAGATTTATGGTGGTAAAGCCACTAAGTATAGTTATTTCTAGCCAGATGCAAGCCAATGTTAGTGGGGAAAATGTTGGCACTTAAGGCCATGTTTAAATGCATACAATCCTGAGCATAAATAAGATTTTTTGAGAGGGCTCTGCTGTGTTCTGTTTCATTTTTGAAGGAAAAAAAAAGGAGGAGGCAAAAAAACTGAGCAAGCCACAATTTTTCTTGAGGGTATGATACTCTGAGATGAGCTCAGATCAGAAGTGCCTTTAAAAATCTTTGCATGTAAGAATGAATCATATATTTCTAGAATGGTTTTGGGTGGGAAGGGGATGTTAAAACTCATCTAGTGCTACCCCCTGCCATGGCAGGGACACCTCCCACCATCCCAGGTTGCTCCAAGCCCCATCCAACCTGGCCTTGGACACTTCCAGGGATCCAGGGGCAGCCACAGCTTCTCTGGGAACTTGTGCCAGGGCCTCCCCACCCTCCCAGGGAACAATTCCTTCCCAATATCCTATTTAATCCTACCCTTTAGATAGCCCCGTCCTTCTGTTGTGTCAACTGCACTGCTCAGCTTGGCGTTGTCTGCAAACTGGAAATCTGAGAATTCACTTAACTGTATAAAAGGTGGAATTACTTTTATTTCAAGGTTTGAGAGCGACAGAGATGAGGGGCTGAGGTTCTTGAAAAATGAAGTAAAATTGACCCCTATTTTTCAGTCTTTCAGCAGGGAGTAAAATAGTTGTAATCTCTTGACATAATTGCGAATTTCTGTCTTGAAACATTGCCATGTGTTACGCTGCTGAATTTCTGTTAATGTTTGACCTGAAAATCATTCCCATCCTAAAGCCAGGCAGAGGCAGAAAAGACAGGCTAGATTGCCTTGTGAATTTAAAAGAATATTCAGAAAAGCAGTAATAGGCAGTGTTACGGTGTCTTCATTTCTAGCAGCTGCTTTTTATAGTCCTGGTGTGTTCCCAGCCTGGTTTTAGCCTGTGTTATCTCTAAATGTACTTTGCTCATTTTCAGCTGTGTTGCCACTGGTGAGAAAGGGCATAGATGGCAGTGGCTTCCCATGTTATTTTAATGTGCTTCTTGTTTATGAAGTTTTCTTTAATGTTAATTGATCTTGTGTGATTGTTTCTAATTATCTCTCTCTGATCTGAGCTGGCTGAGTAAGAGGACAAGTACATATCACTGCCTAGTAACACCTAGCTAAGAAAGAGGTCCTGCTTTTGAATTTCCTCTTTGTCTTCTCATTCTTCTGTTCTTCTCATCTCTGTTCAGCCAGAGTTGTGTGAAGAGAGATGGGACAGGGAACGACTGGAGAGGATCCAGCAGGATGGGAACACCTTGCTTATGGGGAAAGGTTGATGGAACTGGGCTGTTCGGCCTTGAGAACAGACAGCTGAGAGAGGATCTTACCAATGCATACAAATATTTGCAGGCCAGGTGCCAAGAAGATGGGGCCAGACTCTTTCCAGTGACAGGACAAGGGGAAATGGGCACCAACTGGAATGCAGGAAGTTCCCCTTAAATATGAGGGGAAAAAAAACTACTGTGAGGTGACAGAGCACATGGAGGAGGCTGCTCAGAGAGGTTCTGCAGTCTCCATCTCTGGGCTTATTCAAAACTGCTTTGGGTGAACCTGCTTTGGCTGGGGAGTTGGTCTGGGGGAGTCTCCAGAGGTCACTTCTAGCCATAACCATTCCATGGTTGTGTGATTTGGTGAGATTAAGAGAGGACCATCACAAGGGTGTTTTGGGTTTTTTTGTCACGAGTCACAGCAAAGCCCAAACCTTTGTATTTCAATAACTTTATTGAACCAGCTCCTGTGGCATTGGCTTACAGTGGTAAATTTATGGTACTTCACTGTACCAACAATACCAGGATGATCTTTAAAAACAGATTTGCCTCCAGGGCACACCTCAAAAGACCCTCTCATCCAACCCTACAAGGTGAAGGGAGCCTGGATGAAGTTACATCAGTATCTTGAAAACCTCCGCAATGGGGACTCTACACGTCTCTTGGGGGGTTGTTCTGGATACTGATGCTGTCTTTCTAAAATGTGGGAATTTTGGGAGCAAAAGATTCAAGGCTCATGATTTGATTTCCTCTGGATCTCTGAGCAATCTCATCTTTGCAGTTGAGAGAACATCAGTTCTCTGTGTAGGAAACATTAGTATTTTCGGGGTACTTGTACAACTGGTGTCTTTGGGATTGTTCGTAGGAGTTGTAGCTGTTCCTTGTATCCCATATTTCCACCCAGTAACAGAAAAGAGATGAGAGAAAAGTAATTTCTGCAGTTGCAGGAAGACTGGTTTGTACCTCCTTCTTAGCTCTTTTCTGTGTGTTTCAAATCAAAGCAAAAGCTCGGAATTGTAACAGTGTGGGAGGTGTTGAGTCTCTCGAATCACTATAAATAGTGGCAGACTTGGGAGGACTTGGGAAAGCTTGGGAAGTGCTCTAGTTCCCTTTGGGAATCTCATTTTTTTTCCTCCTGTGATGTACAGGCTTTCAGGGGAGCATCTGCCTAAAACCTTCTGATATGGCTGCATGTATGCAGAGCTTGTGAATGATGTGCATTCTGTTCATTTTAGGTTAAAAATGCAAGCAAACTTTTTCTAGACATTGTTGATCCATATTTGTATTAATTGATGTGAAAGCAGATTGTAGTTAATTGCTATGAGCTAATCAGCTGTGTAGAAAACAAAGGAGGACCTATATTCTAGCTTTTCTAAGCATTTGAAGCTCAGGCTTCTCTTCTGAGGAGATGAACGTAATCTTTGTGATTAGAAGAGTTTTTCATTTGGAAATATGCAGAATTTTGACTGTAGTATCCAGACAGTGGTTGAAGTTGGTATCCACTAATGTGCCACTGATAAAAATGTCCTTTAATTCCTTGTCGGCACGTGCTTCCTGTGTGCTCCCTCTTTCAGTAAGAGGCTGCTCTCTTCATCCTAGCAAAGAGGAGCGAAGGTACGTTTCTTTTCCCTGAAACCGAGCGTGGCTGTGTTATTATTCCCGATTTCCTGGGGAGACTTGGACTTGTGACTTGTGTGTCCTGCAGCCAAGGTTTGCTGTTCCTGCGGGGCTCTGCTGTGCCTCAGGAATGCGGCCGTCACAGCGCTCTTTGTTCCTGAGTTTGGGGTGGTGTTTGGAGCACCCCAGGCCCGGGTTATGAAGTGCCTCGAGCTTTGATCTGCCCTGAGGAGTTCCTTTGAGTTGGTGGGGGTGCTTTGATGTTCTCTGCTCACTGCCTGCCAAGTCCTTCTGGTGGAGGTGCAGTGCAGAGCTGTTGTCCAGTTCAGAACCAGGACCTCATCTCTCCATGAATCCAAACACTTCTTTACTCTCAGGGAGTAAATGGAACTCTCTGCTGGAGGAGTTTGTCCGTCGTAGTTGAGATTTTTTTTGGTTCTAAATTTAGCAGGTTAGCTCAATACTGTGCTAGAGGAGGGCTGGGCCCTTTTGTTGACACAGCTCGCTGGATGTTTGAAATGCCTTTTGCCTTCTCTGCACCCAGCTGTGCTGCTGAACTGGCAGCCCAGAGGCAGCCAACAGCAAAGGCTGGGAGAATTGGGATTGTTCAGCCTGAAAAAGAGAAGCCTCGAGGTGACCTAATTGCCCCTTCCAGGACTTGAAAT